TGAGATACAAGCTCTGTCAATTAAAACACATTTCCTCAGAATCCGAGAAGATTGTGTAATTTTGAAGACAGACACAAGGTTCCTGCCTAAGGTCTCTTTGGTTTTCCACCATTCACAGGACATTGTTCTGCCATCTTTTTGTAGGAATAGGTTTCATTTTTGTGAATATGTATTTTTCATAGTCTTCTTTTGGTTTTCATAAAAGAACTACCTTTTATTCTGTTTGGGCAATATGTTTACTATCTTGGTGGGAGGGGCTCCACCTCTCAAAGGATGTCATGGAAGACTACTGGAAATGGAGTTAGATACGTCTAACTCCGGATTTTTTTTACTGCAATGAACCAGATTAGTGTGCTACTATATATGAGTCATAACTGTAAAAGAAAAAAATAAATAAATACATGGCCAAATATGCAGTGGCAGACTATGTTTTCACTGAGGCTGTTCATATTAAAAAAAAAAAAATCACTGTCCCAAAACACAGCATATAGCATCCCGCCCAACCATGTACTATTAAGAATTTGTGTAAATTTAGTGTCATCTACAAAGCTGCATAAAATAGTTCCTCTCTCCACTACGTATATTGCGTTTTTTTTTTTTGTATTAATATATGTCCCCTGATGGAAGTGTCCATTATGGCATGCCTTTCTTTAATAATAGACTGTCCCTTTGCCCTAAAAATGCCAGAAGTTTCAAACAGCATTCACCTATCATAGACTCCAGTGAGATTTGCAACTAAATTCGGGATAACCAAATTCAAAACAACATCAGCCAAACACTTAGTGAATTACATAATATAATACAAAAATAACCAAATGGAACATCAATGCATCTGGGCTGACTTGTGAGGTTAAAATATATTTTTGCAGAAAATATCACTGCTGTCATCTAGGGATTGGAAACAGTGAACCTACAACATCCTCTATGCACAGGCACTGTCAGATGGGGAAGCAAACGCAAGGCTCAACAGAGATCCAGCTCATACACAGAACAGCAATGGATATTTGGCAAGATAAACAATTATTTTTGTACATATCAAACTAATATTACAAAATGTTTTTAATAGTATATTTAATTGACCAAAGGGAGTAAATGAGTGAAGTTTATGTTAGGGTTTACACACACTTTAAACTGTATTCTGAAGTTGCAACCGATACACTTTCTCCCATTGCTATTGGAGATGGCACTCTCCCAAAACTGAGATGGCTTCCCATGAGCAAGCACTGACATCTGCCTAGCCATCTTACACTTTGCAGCTTCCAGGGACAAAGAGCACTTGGAGACATGCCTCTGCTTGCTACAACCCATGCAGTGAGGCCTCCTTGCCTAATGCTGTGGCATAATTTGATTTGTGTCACCATGGAAAATATGCTTCACTTCAGGCATGGTCACTGCTGCCAGGTGCTACCTGCACCAATTTGTAGAAAACCTTACAATGAATATATATTTCTGCAAATAAATAATATTTTAAATATACACTATATTGCCAAAAAGTATTGGTATGCCTAGCTTTACACGCACATGAACTTTAATGGCATCCCAGTCTTACTCCGTAGAGTTCAATATTGAGTTGGCCCACCGACTGCAGCTATAACAGCTTCAACTCTTCTGGGAAGGCTGTCCACAAGGTGTAGGAGTGTGTCTATGGGAATGTTTGACCATTGTTCCACAAGTGCATTTGTGAGGTCAGGATGTTGGACAAGAAGGCCTGGCTCGCAGAGTCCACTCTAATTCATCCTAAAGGTGTTCTATTGGGTTAATTTCAAGACTGTGGAGGCCATTCAGTTCCTCTACCCCAAACACGTTCATCCATGTCTTTAGGGACCGTGCTTTGTGCACAGTCATGTTGGAACAGGAGGGGGTCATCCCCAAACTGTTCCCACACAGTTGGGAACATAAAATTGTCCAAAATGTCTTGGTATGCTGATGCCTTAAGAATTCCCTTCACTAGACCTGAGGGGCCTAGCCCAACCCCTGAAAATCAACCCCACACCATAATCCCCCCTCCACCAAACTTTACATTTGGCACAATGCAGTCAGACAAGTACCATTCTCCTGGCAACCACCAAACCCAGACATGTCTATCAGATTGACCTGACAGGGAAATGTGATTTGTCACTCCAGAAAACATGTCTCCACTGCTCTAGAGTCTAGTGGTGGCGTATTTTACACCACTGCATCCGACACTTTCCATTGCACTTGGTAATGTAAGGCTTAGATGCAGCTGCTCGGCCATGGAAACCCATTCCATAAAGCTCTCTATGCACTGTTGTGCTAATCTGAAGGCCACGTAAAGCTTGGAGGGCTTGACCTATTGGCTTTGCAGACAGTTGGCTACTTCTGTGCACTGTGCGCTTCAGCATGCGCTGGCCCTGCTCCTTCAGTTTACGTGGCCTACTACTTGATGGCTGAGTTGTTGTAGTTCCAGTTGCTTCCACTTTGTTATAATACCACTAACAGTTGACATGGAATATTTAGTAGCAAGGAAATTTCATTGATGGACTTTTTGCACTAGTGGCAAACTATCATGGTACCACTCTTGAATTCACTGAGCTCCTAAGAGTGACCCATTCTTTCACAAATGTTTGTAGAAGTAGTCTGCTTGCCTAGGTGCTTGATTTTATACTCCTGTGGCCGTGAAGGTGACTGGAACACCTGAATCCAATGATATGGAGGGGTGTACCAATACTTTTGGCAATATAGTGTATGTGCTTACAATCTGCAAATTAAGTCCATGTGCAACAAATGCTGAACTCAATATAAACAAATATGCAAATATTTCTTCTCACGTGTAATAAATAACGTGCATCAAATTTAAAAACTAAAGTGTCCACAAATAAACTGTCCTGTGTCAAATTACTGTGCTCTCTACCACTGTGTGCTCCGCCACCAGCCACACCACCTCCTCACCTTAAAATAGTGAACTATAGTAATAAATAAGTCAATCTGCACCTTGCACTTTAATTAGGGATTTAAATCTCCACAGGAATCTCCAGATGTACCAACAGGACTTTTTTTCACCAAGCAGATCTCCACGTCTTCCAAGGACACCTTCCAGCACCTTTGCTCCATAATGCCCTGAGGAAAAAAAAGGCCATAATTGGGCAGTATCTTTAAAAACCATACCGTATTTTATTGACCATAAAATAATGTTATGATTAAGCGCATGTCTAAGTGAAATGCATGAACACTGTTCCCTGCATGTGGAGCGGTGATAATTCATTTGGAGTTTCCACAGCTGTCAGTGAAGTCATTCAACTTCTAATGTACAGTGCTTTGTGACTGCGAACAGCACTGGCACCTTGTTACATGAAACTGGACTTAACGAGAGATGCATATCCACAGTGAACTGACCTGCAGCAGTGTGTTTGTGTGTATTACAATTTGAGATTGAGCTGCACTTAAGAAAGATAATTAGATGGATGTGGAAACACATGACAGTGCTAGCATCAATTAGTGGTTTCTGATTTTGTTTTTGAATAGGTGTCAAAGCACAGGGAAAAATATTTTTCTTAAATTACCAATTTGTAGCAGTCTCAAGCAACAGCACAAACATTGTCACAGTCACACATGCTGAGCTCTGTTTTTGCATGTACAGCATATGCACCACCCAATGCCTTTTGCCTCATTGCACCAATAAGTCCCTGACACAAACTCATTGTGTTATCATAGACCTAGATTCCACCATCTTTTGCCCACATCTGAACATCACTTGTAATCTAGGGGAATGTTAGATGCATTTTATTGAGACCCAAACTCTGCATCTCTCTCACTGCTTCTTTAGTTCTCTTACTCACAGATCCATGGTGCCCAAGTCCACATTCTGACCTCTTGATAGGCACCCATCTGACTCCTGTGCTGAAATCTCTTGATTGTTAGAACACACCTGACCCCTGTCTCCAAAATAGGAGCTCTGAACTATCCTCGGGTTTGACTTATGCAGGCCATAGATGGGTCGAAAATCGTCCGATTTTTCTTTAAAAAAAACGAACAATCGGTCGTTCAAGTGGCCGACGTTACCACCAATGGTAAAAAAAATCGGCCGATTTTCATCCCGTCTACAGCCGGCAAAAAGTGTCCCTGCAGAGAGCTCCGCTATTTCTGACAGTTCTCTGACAGTTCCTTCACATTTACAGCGGTTGAAACATTGTATCTATTTGTTTCCATTTAGGATACAGATGTTTTTATTCGGAAACAAATAGATACAATGTTTCAACCGCTGTGAATGTGAAGGAACTGTCAGAGAACTGTCAGAAATAGCGGAGCTCTCTGCAGAGACACTTTTTGCTGGACTGGAATTCTTCTTATTTTCATCCTACTTCTTCTTCTTCTTCTTCATCCTCATCCTCTTCTTCTTCTTTCTTCTTCTTCATCCTCATCCTCTCTTCTTCTTTTTCATCCTCATCCTCTTCTTCATCCTCATCCTCTTCTTCTTCCTCATCCTCTTCTTCTTCTTCTTCTTCTTCTTCTTCTTCATCCTCATCCTCTTCTTCTTCTTCTTCATCCTCATCCTCATCTTCTTTTTCTTCTTCTTCTTCTTCTTCTTCTTCTTCTTCTTCATCCTCATCCTCTCTTCTTCTTCTTCTTCTTCATCTCATCCTTCTTCTTCTTCATCCTCATTCTTCTTCTTTCATCTCTTTCTTCTCTTCTTCTTCTTCTTCTTCTTCATCTTCTTCTTCTTCCTCATCCTCATCCTCTTCTTCTTCCTCATCCTCTTCTTCATCCTCATCCTCATCTTCTTCTTCTTCCTCATCCTCTTCTTCTTCTTCATCCTCATCCTCTTCATCATCCTCATCCTCTTCTTCTTCATCATCCTCATCCTCTTCTTCTTCATCCTCATCTTCTTCATCCTCATCCTCTTCTTCTTCTTCCTCATCCTCTTCTTCATCCTCATCTTCTTCTTCCTCTTCTTCATCCTCTTCTTCATCATCCTCTTATTCATCCTCTTCTTCATCCTCTTCCTCTTCTTCTTTTTCTTCTTTTTGTCTTCCTCTTGCAGGTCACTGCTCATGCGCAGATTTTTTATCGGTAAAAAATCGGCCGATTGGCCCATTAATGCCGCGAAAATCGGCCGATCGGCCGATTTTTTTTCCAACTTTACCAAAAAAAACGGCCAAAATCCCGAAAAAACGGCCGACCAAATCGCCCACTAACGATCCGAAAATCGGCCGATTTTATTTTCGGCCGACAAATCGGCCGATTTTCGACCCATCTATGGCCTGCATTATAAAGACTCTGCACACCTGTGTACTCACACAGGCTGCAGGCATCCAGCAAAACCCAGACACAGGATTTAAGATTCCATCCCACCTAAGATACTCTGGAACCTTCAAGCTCCTGGCCCCTATCTGGGATTATAAAGCACAGAGAAAGCTAAAAACACAGATTTTTCCACCCACAAACCCTCTGGAGCTTCTCAAACTGCAACTTTGATAGCCCTGTGCTGTTTCTAGCTGAATCTATTCCCTAACAAGTCTGTATACAAGAATCTTTGTATACCCACTGTTCACAAAACATATATTATAACTGCAAGAGCTCTAGGGGCTTAAACTGGAAGCAAGAAGCAAATAATAAAAAGATCATGCAGTTACTGAAAATACTAATTAAAGTTACTCTGAACTCTGGTTTACAAAATTATATATAATTATGTTTTCTTAACTCAAAAAAGTACATTAATTGCTCTCAGGCTTCTTAAAATCTCTTGCTTTTTGCTGCTGTGATCGGACTTACTGTTAGAGGTTGGCTATGTTCATTGTCCCACTGAATAAACATAGCCATCCATTGGCCTCACTGTACAGGTACAGTATGTAGGAATAGAGCCAACCTGTTTTACTTGCTTCCGAGATGGACTAGGGACTAAAGACTATGGGACTTGTAGTGTGCATAAAGATGTCAGAGTTTGGTGGCAGAGATGACACAAGGAAACTGGGACCAGACAATTAGATATAGTTAAAATTAGATTTATTTACGGTAAAGCAAAGACAACCACACACCAGCAAACAGTAAACATAAAAAATACATGATAATCAAAAACTAAAATGATAAGATGCCTAACTAGCAACCTAACAGAAAAACAAGCCCAACAAACTAATTATATAAACAAAAGGGGGGAACACAGATCAATCAAGTAAACAGAGGATGCAGAGAGCAGATGGGAAGGGGGGAACCAGGATTGAGATCAGGAACAGGGGTAGCAGAAAGAGGCAGCAGGGCAGGGGCAAGATCAGGGTCAGGATCCGAATAAATGGTAACAAAGTCTAATACTAGAAATGCAAAAATGCAAAAAAAGAATAGGGCAGGAGCAGCCAAAACACTGATGCACAGTGTACTAGTAGAAAATGCATAAACCACTTCCGTGCCTGACACTTTCAACCCCTTCCTGCCCAGTCCAATTTCCAGCTTTGGGTGCTGTAACACTTTGAATGCAATGCTCAGTCATGAAATACTGTACCCAAATGTTGGGTGGTATTTAATCACTTTGGGTGGTATTTAATCACCACTGGGTTATTTTATTTTTTTGCTAAAATTTTGATAAAAAAAATATTTTTTTTTATTTTTTCTGTTATAAAATGTTGCAAAAAAAACACTTTCTTCATAAAGTTAGACCAAAATGTATACCACTACATTCCTTTGGTGAAAATAACCCACATCAGTGTATATTATTTAGTCTTCAGGAATGCTATAGAGTCTACAAACTTTGGGATATACAGGTATATTCGAACATTGACAAGTCCTGATGTACTGACTGCCTATCTAATTTCTTGATCCCGAAAATGCCCTGGCAGTACAAATATCCCCCAACACCCCCCCCCCCCTTTTTTTGGAAAGTAGACAGAAGTTTAAATTTTTTGTCACAATTGTGGGGAAAATTAAGACATTTTAAAAAAAAATGTTCACAATTTTGTTTTTACATACTGTGACCAATGCAGTAAAACTTTGTTATATAACTGTGTGGCAGTGATCAGTGGTGACAGTATGCAATAAAAATAATATTTTTTTTAAATGTTTGGAATATTTTTTTTCATTTTTATTATACATTTTGATTTCTTAAAAAATCTTTTACATACTGTGGCCAGAGCAATACAGTGTTACCACAGTAACTCTGTACTACTCTGGGGAGATGATAGGATTTTTTTTTTTTTTTACACACTATGATTGTTTATAATAGTAATCACTGTTATAAGCAGCCATTTTTTCTGAATAAAATCCATTTATTCAGTGTGTGCTATTATGTTAAGCTGTGATTGGCCACAGGTAATCACATGAAATCCATTCAGTCAGTGTGTGCTATTATGAAAAAGCTGTGATTGGCCACAGGTAATCACATGGTTGTGATTGGCCCTAGCTGTACCATGTGATCATTATTTTACATTGGTCATCAGTGGAGATGTACTCCCTTACATTGGTATGTAGCTGGATGATCAATACACAACTATTCAATGAACCCCCAGTAAGATGTGGAGGAAATCTAGCATTCCAAAGATCCTAGTAAGAAAGGCTGGTTTACAGTTAAATCATATGAAACTACATTTTAAAAAGTGCAATCTAAATACAGGCATTACAACATCTATAGGCTGAATATAATTACTGTAACAATTTGTAATTGTTAAAAAATGTATAGCAATTATAATATAATTTCTAGTATGGGGCATTTGTGTCTGCAGGTCCTTTCATAAGCTTGGAGAAAACTCGTCAGCAGCCACTTCACTTGGTAAGTACGCGAGTTGAAAGTAAGAAAACATATGATTAACACTTTATGCCACAGTAGAAAATTAGCTTTTAAAACTCTACTGTGTTGCTTAAATAATGATAGAACGTCATTTTTTATTTTCATTTCTCTCAGCCTCATATTGCAAGATTAAGAGAAGACGGATTGTCATATGCAGAATTAGAACTTATAAATCTTTCACCGACTATAAAGGACCTTACTTCAGGAACAGTATATGCACAGATACAGTTTGAAGAAAACACCTTGAAACAACAGAATGAAGCTGCAGGGCAGAAGATCATAGGTTTAAAGCCTGTTGATGACTACATAAAATAAAGAAAACAAAAACTATTTTAGTTTCATTGATGAGCACATATGCAATACAGTACCTATTTGTATTATCTGTTGGAAACTTTACCTTCTGCAGCTTGAAGAATCTTGAAAAATTTCCACATGTGGTGCCAAAGTCTCAATGGATTATAAAAAAAAAAAAAGATTGCTCTTTTCATTTTGATGGAATATATATTTTTTTTTTTATTAGAAAAGGGTGTATTTGTTGTACTAACATTGGTATCACTTCTATGAACATAGCTACTGATGTCCTGCTCTTTTTTTTTTTAAGACAGTATAATAACAAGAGAACATGAGGCCATGCATATTTATCATTATCGCTGGACGTATATTATCTGCCAAGTAACCAAAAACCAAACAGCAAAAAAAAAGGGGGGTGTGAAAAGAAATTCACAAGAAAAGCGGTTACATCATGGTCAGAAAGCGATACCCAAAAATTTATCAAAAATATAAAAAATTATTCTTTATTGCAAATAATGGACATGTTAGACATTTAGGTAAATACCACAGTTAGCCATCACCACAAGATCAGACAATACCAAAAAGTATGACCTAAAACAAAAATTATTAAAAGAAAGATGTCATGACCGGCCATGAGTATAGTTTGCTGCTATAAAGACAATGACACTAGGTCTAGTGTATATACAGCACAGGCACATTGGAAACACTGCCATGTAGGGGATGTACAGAAAAATTGTAACCATAAAAGGCTATACATCAAATATGCAAATGTAAAACATTGGTATCAGTATAATATGGACTGAGGGGCTCAACTATACAATGATATTATGCTAGTGAGTGATCCAACTCAGGGCAAGGATTGAAAAGAGACATAAATGCAGCACAAGAATTGATTGCTAATTTAAGCACCAGTGAACTGATGCCGTGATGTGATGACACGCAATTTCATGCAGAAAAATATATATAGCTTTCTCAGCAGGGATGAGTGGTTCTTGACTGATGAGTTGACAATTGTGTCCAGAGATAACACTTAAGGAAAAACTTTATGACAACAGTGACTTCTCCATATGACATCCGTCATCTGTAGTTGAAATGGCAGGGCCCTGCCAGTTGTAATATAGGGATTCTTCACTGCCAGCATGCAGACTAAAATGTCTCCCTTATTATAAATCTGATGTATAGATGATAAGGATATCCATGCTGTATAATGAAAGTAGGGTGCTGTGCACCTTCTATGAAGTATGGCATGATGTCCCCATCCTGTAGTGAATACGTGACATGAGAGACAAAAGTCAATATGGTAGTCACTAGGTATATCAAATATTGACAGCCATGAGGCCGTAAATCCTTTTTTGTGTAAGCAGTGTTCCACTCACCACCCGTTCAAATGAGTAAAGAACAGTGCATAATCTCTCACGTATTGGATTCAAGCCCGGAGTCCCGGAGGCATCGGCCAGCATCGGACTATGGACAAACAGGCTCCACTCCATCCCGGTAAATTGTGCAGATTTATGAGCGCCCAGCAAGAGCGTGTATTTCCGTGTCCCATGCAGGACTAGGTATAGCGCCAATGCACCTGACCAGTAGTGATGTCACTGACATGTGATTTCAATGCGTTTTGCCAATGGGTGTAATCTTACTCAGCTTCATTAGGACCAATAGAATGCATAGCTAAAGACTCCATTTATGTCAGGCAGATCTCCGCCCATATATAAGCAAATACACAATCAAAGCAAAGCATTTCATTTGGAAGAAAGATAAAAAACGGTAATTATTTATAGAAAAACTTATGAATACCTGGAAATAGTCACAATTATGAGATGAGCGAAGTAATTCAAAAATTCGATTCGGCTGATTCGGCGAATTTGAGGAATAAATTTGATTTGATGCGAATATATTCGCTGCACCCCCCCCCCGCGAATTTAACTTATATAAAAAGGGTGTTTTTCTAGGCTTCAGAGAGCCTTTATATTGGTGTGTGCAGAACACTGTACCTTTAATTTAAATGCCCTTGGAGTCTGCTGGGGAAGAGAAATAATACTGTCAGTCAGTATGACATGCAGATGAGGAGTGCCGTCGATCTTAGAATCACCGCACACTTCACTCATTTGGGCAGTCACGGGCCAAAACCAGAGTGTGGAGCCACAGTGTGGCGGTGGAGGCAGCAGCAATGGAGGCCATACAGCACCCTATGACAAAATGGAACCCACCAGCAGTTGTGAGGAGACCTGAAAGTGGCACATGGCAGAGTGTGGCGATGGAGACAGCAGC